ATTTAGTAGTGATGGTCACAATTGTTAGAGGAAATAGATTTGGATCTTGATAATTGTGCAATGACAAGAAGAAGGTAAGCCAATCAACAATATTATTTCCTAGTTGTTATTATCAGTCCTAGTGAAAAGTAGCTTTCTAAAGGAGGAAATAAGAATAATGGAAAAGAAAATGTTCTAAGTAATTATAAGTATTCCCACAGATTCCTTGACCACCTTGGAATAGGTTACATTCACTCTCAGAGTGACTCATTGATGACCATTAATAGCTCAAAGTATCATACAGGTAATAATAGACACTGTCTAAGTAGCCCTAGAGTCCAGACAATGTGATAACAAAGACAGTGACACTGTAGGGAGAAGTTGTCAGAACCTTAATGATGTCCAGACAGTATGAATTCTCATAATTGTTTCTGATTCTAGATACTGGATGGAAAGCTTATTGTCAAAGGGTCACCATTTTCTCTATAGGCTGTAAATTTTTGTGAGCAGTGTTTACCAAACTATATAACAACTAATTTATTTCAATGTGTAAAGGCAGAGTGATACAGAATTACTGTGAGAATGCTAATTTTATCATCATTTTATCATTTTATCTTGTCCAAATAACAAATTATTATTCCTTCCAAGACAGAAATGGTGAAGATGGAGGAAACTTAAGAGGTTGACTCTATGATGGTGAGGTTGATGTACATTGTTCAATGTCATTGCTACAGACCATAACAGATGTGATGCTGAAGAATGCTCTGGGTACCTGTGAGAACTTATTTTGGGGGTGGGTGTTGGGAGAATTTGTCCCTGCATTTCATTGAATTTCTACATGGTTTAAATCTTGTCTTCTGAGCAAAGAGCATAGTTTATTAATAAATAGCAGTGCCTAGACTAGCATTAGACAAGTAAGCCACCTAGAGTGCAAAGTCATCAACTGATTCTAGGCCTCTCTAACTTTTTTTTCCTCATAGCTGCCTTTCTCACTTTATTAACTACCAGATCCTGACAAAGAACCTTGAGATTTGGAAATAGTGAATCTATCTGGATCACATAGGCATTGTGATTAAAGGTAGCTGATGTTTCTCCCCAGATATCTGATTACATTTCAAGGTAAAGACAAGGTCTCTCAGTCTCTCTTAGAGGAAAGATGGTCTCTCAGGTTAGCCAGAATAATCAGAATCTGGGGTTACCTTCTCTGTGATGCACCCTACTACATATACACATGACATCTGACCTCTACCTTATTTCTCTGAGGGGTTTGAAGTTTTTGAAAACAGTGTTGTGATGTTTTTTTCTGGTTCCTACTACTTTTCTGAATAATAAACAATCTTGTGGCTTCTGTAAGTATAATAAGTACTGAATAATTTGTTAACATACAACTGTTTTGGAAAAAATTACTACATGCTTTTTATGTTCTGGTTAATGTGATTTAAGGAAATTCCAAAAGAAGTTAATAGCTGGCATGTTAACAAACTCTGTGGTCTATTGTGCAAAAAACATAACTCCGTCATGTTGGTCACGCATGAGTAGGATTGGGAATTGGATGACAGCTGAGTACCAGGAGGTATAACAGAAACCAGCATCCTGAATGGCATTTTTTATTGTCTGCTCTAGACAACTGGAGCCAAAAGAATGAAAGTGTTCATCAAAGCTGATGCAGGCTTTTTTTGTGTGTATGCAAACACCGATGTTTATACTGTTGAGACATGAGTTATTGCTATTCCGCTTGAATGTGAAATAAATGTTTCTTGCTCCTGGCATGGTGACACTTTTCCACAGCTTCCTGATTATATCTTACCCTCTATGCTGATCTCTGTCAAACTAGACCTGAGATCTCTATCCAATAGTGTAGTGGTAGACTTCTTTAAAAGTTCAGATCTTCTTAAAACACAGTGTTTAACAAAGTAATATTTAACTTTCTATACTAAAAATAAAACAACCAATAATCCTCAAACTGGAGCTATGTAGAGTAACAAGACAACTAATGCTCAAAGATCAAGCTCATCTTTTTGCATTCACTCTTGTGCCCATGGATACTGGACTTAATTTGTTTAGGTGTAATTCCGTATCATCCTGCTCTCTCCCCGTGCTGCAAGTGGGATATTCACAGAGTTCAAGAATTTATGACACGAACTCATGGAGGGTGTTCCAAAAAAGCCAATTGTGATATGAAGTATTAAAAGTAGGATGTTTGATGCAGAGATTCTATGCTTTGGTGTTTATAAATGGGCTACAGGTTCTATGCATCAGAAAACCTGATAGCTTTTCTTTAGTTGTCCTTCATATCAGATATCATGCATGGGATTGGAATGGTCATTGTAGAGAAGTGAGAAGGAAATGATGTCAGATAGTCAATGGAAAGGAATTGTTTACCATATATGTATGTGATTATTGAAAATCTGGATATGTAATCTTGGGAAGATAAATCTTAGGAAGGAAAGAAACTTTATTTAAACTATGATTAGATATTATAGCAGATCCCAAGCATTTGTGAAATATTATTTTGGAAACTTTATGATTGAATTAAAATCAGTATCAAATAAAAAGATATTTGAAAAGAGTATCAAATATCTACTAAGATTTCAGGTAAGAGAAGAAACAAAGATACTCTGAAAGAAATAATTTAAGGGAGGGACAATTTATTTTTGGCTCATGATTTTAGAGTATTCAGTCTTTGGTCATTTGGCCCCATGAGCTTGAGCAGAACATCATGGTGGCAGGGACATGAGACGGAGGAGAGCTGATCACTTCATGGCAGACAGGAAGTAGATAAAGCTAAATTCAGAAAGAGTCCAGGGAATGACATTGCTTCCATGGATATGCCCCTGATTATCTTTTCAGCATCCTTTAGAATGGAAATTTACTAACCTTGTTCAAATATACCTAAATATAACATTGACTTTGAGATGCATAAAGACTAGACCTCTTTGGGGGAAATGACTTGTCATTTTGCTTTAAACATGTGGAAATTGCTTTTGTGCCATTCTTATCTGGTATTGAAAGGACTATCTTTCCCCAGAATCATTTGTTCAAATGGAAACCTAAAGTGTGCCCAACCAATCCACAGTGAAAGGTACAGTGGTGGGCTGGAGGAGTGGCTCAAGCAGTAGAGCACCTGCCTAGCAAGCATGAGGCTCTGAGTTCAAACCCCAGTACTGCCACAAAAAAAAAAAAAAAAAAAAAGAAAGGTACAGTGGTGACCTCAGGGTGACCTCTGCAGGGGTGAGTGTTGTCTTCACTGCTGGCCCAAGTTTTGATTTTTCTTCTTTTGGCAGAACTAGGGTTTTAATTCAGGGTTTCACACTTGCTAGGCAGATGCTCTAACACTTGACCTATGGCTACAGACCTTTTACAACCATCAGAGACAAATTAAAATTTACAAAGTTTCTGTGTAGGAATGATAACCTCCAAAGATTGGAAAGATCTATTTGAATCAAATGAGAAATCTCAAAAAATTGTATCTGAGAGAAGAATTGATTCATAGTTTAAAATTGGTGATGAATGGAATTATCCTCCTGAATTCTTCATCAAAATATGTCCTAAATGTTGATAAATTATGCCATTTCCAAACAAAAGATATCAATTCTTTTTCCTACATTCACCTTTTCACTGAAAATTCAACCAATGGACCTGTTCCAGAATGTCTTCTGTGGGTTGAAATACTTCCCCTCATAAGATACAAATTGAGTTGTTAATCCATAAATAACTGAATTTAAGGAAAGAGCCTTTAGGAGGCAATTAAATTAAAATGGGTTCACGAAACAGCACCTAATCCAATGAGACCTGTGCCCTTACAAGCAGGTGTGAGACATCAGGAGTCTATGTAAACAGTCTATGCTCACAGGGAAAAGGCCCTGTGAGAAGGAGGCCTGTGTACAAGCAAGAAACAGAGGACACACCAAAAACACACCCTTGATTTTGAGCTTTTAGCCTTAAAAGCTGTGAGTAAATAAATTTGTATTGTCTAACAAATTCAGACTGTGCTATTTTATTATGGCAAGCTAACCACAATAGTACAAAGACAAAAATTTAATATGGAGAGTGGCACTGTGAAAATGAAATGTTAAATACATGAAGAACATATGTCAGCAACTAAAAAATATTCAGTTTTATCCTGAATAAATTTTACATTCATTTGATTATTAAAACAAAAATATCTACATGACATGCATTGGAAGTGGTGACTAGTGGAAGGTGGTTGTAAAGCATATCAAGACCTTTGCTTGGATTAAAATGACATGGTGCTGTAATTCATACATGATTGAAAGAAGCATGATATATTAACAAATGTATGTTACAGAAGTGAAAGAAAAATATTAAGTAAATGCTGTATCAGAGAAACGAATAACAGAATGAATGTCAATAATCCAAGACAAAGCAAACAATGAAACTCAGGCAAGAAAGAGAGTATGATTAACAACCATGACTAGGATATTCAAAGAGTACAAACTTACAACAAATCACTAAATGAATTGCATTAGGAATTTAAAGGCAAAAAGCCTTCGAAGTAGAGATTGGTAGGATTGTGGTTTGAGGCTTTAAAGTCCGCTAAATTCCATTTACGAAGTTAGATATTAGTTATATTTTCAGAGCTCTAGGTACTGAATTTTTATTATTGTGAGCACCTCAAATTGATGAGTAAATTCTAAACAGAGAGGTACAAACATTGTAAAATCATGAAAGATAATATGTCTTTATTTGCATGTGAGCAAATGAGAGTTCAGCTTTCCCATTCACTATAAACTGTGGGAAATTTCAGGTCCTGTTCAGAACATATCATGACTGGAAAACAGTGAAGCGACCTTGTCAGGGAAAATTATTTTTTATGAAGAGATCTACTTACCCATTCATTAGTACACCTTATTGCTTTCTACTTTGATATAAAGCCTATAATTTTTTTAAAGGAAGACTGTAACTGCACATCCAAGAAATAGGTAGATAAACCACCTGCATGTGATTGATCAAGAAATCTTCAGTCTTACAATTAAACACTGAGCTCCTTCTTTGCAGGCATGGTAAGTGCCTTGCACAGCCTCTTCATCCTGATATATATGGAATTAATAATTGGGATTTTGGGGAATGAATTCATAACACTGTTGAATTTCATGGACTGGGTCAAGATGCAAAAGATCTCCCTTGCACATCAAATCCTTACTGCTTTAGCAATCTCCAGAATTTGTCTGATTTTGATGCTAATGGTGAGTTATTTCACAAAGGAGTTTTATCCGTCTTTATATATGACTACAAAGAAAGTTACAATTATTGACACTGCTGCTACACTGGCCAATCATTTCAGCACATGGCTTGCAACAAGTCTCAGCCTGTTTTATTGCCTCAAGATAGCCAGTTTTTCAAATCCACTTTTTCTTCACCTAAAACATAGAGTTAAAAGGGTAATTCTGGTGATATTTCTGGGATCATTCATGTTCTTGCCTTTTTATTTTATTGCAATAACAAAATGTGTTAATATCCAGATATATCCACATAAAGGGAATATGACTTTGGCTTCCATATGGAATGACAATGAAAAGTTTTCAAAACTAATTTCATTCACTTTGGGAGTTTTGATTCCCTTTTCTCTAACTTTGAATTGTTTTTTCCTGTTAATCTTCTCACTAAGGAAACATGTTAAGAATATGAAGCTCAATGCTACTGGATTCAGAGATCATAGTACCAGGGTCCACATAAGAGCCATGAAGTTTGTGGTATTGTTCCTCTTACTATTCATTATTTACTTCTTGTCTGTCATCATAATAACTTTCAACACTATAAAGATACAGAGAAAAGTGATGCTTATGCTTCTTCGGGCTTTCGCAGCTCTTTATCCTTCAGGACACACACTTATCCTGATTCTGGGAAATGGAAAGCTAAGGAAGTCTTTTCTTTTGGTCCTGTGGAGGCTGAGATGCAGGTGAAAGCTGGAAACTCTTACATACATCTGCAATTCTGGTGAGCATCTTGTATAACTCACAAGTGAAGCATCATTAAGGAATTTTTATGCTAATTTCTTTGAGGGTCTTTTGTAATGCATGTTACTGAATATTTAAAAAATGTTTATCTGAAACAAACTCCTGTCTAGGCTGTTAAATATTGGTTGCAATTATGTGTGCATTTATATTTAACTTATTCACATAAATGAAAAATTTAAATGAATTACATACTTATAAGTGCTGTGTTAGCAACAAATAATATAGTGTTTCATTTTTTAATGTCTTAAAACTATAAAAAAATTGTCAAAATAAAAATGGCAGGCATATGTATATTCTAAAATGTATAAATGATAATTTACCCATCTCCATTTTCCAGCTCTAAGAGTATATTTTCAAATATTTGTTGGCTATTTCTCAAAATTGAGAAAGCAACTTGTGTTTTACTCTTATTATTTTCTTATCTTCATGCAATAATATAATACATATATAGTGATATATAAATATATGCAATTTGGAATTCATCAATCTTTCTTCAGGTAATAGTCAAATGTATACAGAAACAATAGATTTTCATGCATGAATCTCATACTTTAGTCTATAACAGTCAATGAATTAGAAATCTTTCTTTATGTATTTTTGTTTCTTTTTTTTATTGGATTTTTTATTGTGTAGAAAACAGAATGGATATTAAGAAAAGACAGGGTAAAATGATTAAGAAAAAATATGGATTTCAGATATTTCACGTGACACTAGTATTGATTTGATAATGGAAAGAATGAAGATTAGGTTCAATTTAAGTCACTTCTCTAAAATCAAGATCATGTGAGAATCAATCTTGCTGAGGGATTAATGATGTCACATCTGAATACAATGAGTGCTAGAGACCACTCTGTCTCTAGAGTAGAATGCAAGATCCATAATGCAGCAACTTTGTGTACCTTTCGTTACTGTAGCCTAATAATGTCCAAGATATCTGGGCACACAGAATAGTTCAGCAAATGTCTAGTTGATTAATAATGGAAAGAATGATTGTAGGAACTGTGTACACTAGCACTGTAAGAGCTAACTTTATTCTCTCAAACAATCAGCCTGCATATTGCACATTTTTCAGACTTGGCTTTTAAATTTTACTTATATTTCATGAATTCAAGTTTTTCAGCAGCCAGAGCTGTGAACGCTCATGTTGCAGACAATACTAGGGGAACACATCACAAGAAAAGCAGCTGGTCTTATAATGGGAAGTAGAAATAAATCATAATTAAAAGATTCAGATGCTATCACAAAAGTATGCAAAACAAATAACAAACAGAAAAATATGCCTTTGGTTTTTTTATAAATGGTCACTTACGATGTTTGCTGTCTGGTATTGTCTACGTAAAGATTTCTTAAAATACAATTAATAATTAGATATTGCATTAAATTTTATGTTACTTATAATTTTTCCTTTCTTTTTTCTTTAGTCAAGTGTTTTTAATTTTCAGGACAGAAACATCTACATGCAGTTACAATTTTACTCCATCTCCTTTGTGTGCTTGTTTGTCTAATGCTAAATAAGAACATTCACTTTCCACTAAGCATCCACAACTGAGTAGCCAGCATGAGTTCACATTTCTGCAATCCCACCATAGTGAGGAGGAGGCAGGAGGATCTGAGTTCCAGGCCAGTCTGAGAAACTTTCTGAAAAAAACCAAAAACAAACAACAAAAGCGAGAACAAAATGTCATACGCAGGACTTTGGAAAAACTTATTCTGTTCTTTTTCATTAGAGATTTCTCCATTGTGTTGCATGTAAACATAAGTTTCATTAGCTTCAAAATACAGAATTTTAAATGTGTTCAGAAGGCTCCTATGAGAATTAATTTAAAAATATGTTAAATATTAACAAAGAAACAATGGCATCTTTTGAAATGACTGCATATATTTTCTGTTATGACTTATTAAAACATATTGAATTATCATTGACCTTTATGAATTAAAGTCTGTTGGCTATAATTTAACAAATATAATTGGAATTGTTTGAAAATCTTTCATGTATTGTTATCACAACATTTATTGGTTATTCTTTTGTTAGAGGAATTATATAAACATTATTTCATTTTATTAAATATTTTGGAGTATTTCTTTTCAATATGGTATGTGGATTATCATATTAAGAACTGGTTGCTACTTGAGGTAGTCAGTGTTGATGCTCTCCATAACCAAATGCATTGCCTGTTAAATTTCATAAGAATTTGCTTATTTGTACACAGTTTAATGTGTACTTCATAAGTCATTTTGTGTATTGTGTTGATGGAAATTGACTATTTTCCTCTTTGCCAGTTTATTCTTCAGAATGTAGAAAGAAATTCCTCAGTTTTTAAAACTTCTCTTAGACTTTGTCAATGATTGTTTCTTTTTTTCTGATATTTTAACATTATTGGCAATTTTATTACTATTTTAAAAGTTATTGCTGTTAGTTGAGTTTATGAATCATTTATTCTCAATTTAATTTGACTTACTAATTTTTAACTCTTATTTCTGTTATCCCAGTTTTATTTTGTCTTCTTTTCTAATTATTTAATTTTAATTCATACTTCGTTTTTTGTCAATGTCCATGTTGCACCATAAAATCACTCAATTTCTAAAAATTTCCCTGATTATTTGTTCAATCATATCAGTTTTGCATCCTGTACCTCATTCTTTTCAAAATTGTTAATAAATTTAACTGTTCTGTTTAATCAGTTTTTATTATAAGTATTTCAATAGTGTAAGTGGGCTATTTTATATTTGATTTCAATTTTTTATTATTTTCTATGAGCTAGAAAATTCATTATTTGTTTTCTAGAGTTATGAGTTACTTTGTATTTAATAAATTCTAGTAAGAAAACATGTTTCTTGCTTTAAGTTACAAATTTACACATATGTGTAATATATTCATAATATTAAATTTTTGATTTATAGAATTCCAGGCACTGGTTTTATATTTGTCTGTCATCTGCCAAAGGAAAATGTCTTTGAAATTCTACTGCTGTTGGTTTATATTCATCCATTGTCTTCTATAAGTTCCATTATTATTTTTGCCATTTCCCCCAATTTGTGTTACTTGCATATAATTGTCCTACAAGAAAAACTTCAAATTTTGGAATCTTTGTATAATCATAAGTTGGTAGAATATTTTAATGTATGTGGAAAGACCAAATACAATATATGGGAAGAAATATATCCTGATTAGAAGAAAACAGAGGAATTGAGACATTAAATTTTGCTTTTGATAAATTAGTTCCTGGAGTACATCATCTCAAGTGATGTTAGCCAGGTTCAGAAAGATAAAGGTCACATATGTGGAAGATTGATAAAATGCAAATACAAGCATTATTATACATGCATATAAATATAAACAAAACATGTTTCTAAAAATGTTCTGTTAGAGACCAAAGGAGTAGGGAAAGAAAAAAAGAAGGTTAGATAGTGAATATTAACAAAATACCTCACATCTGTGTAGGAATAAAACACAAGGGTGGGGGGTGAGGTTGAGGTGTGGGAGGTGGCCCAAACAATGTATACATATGTGAGTAAATGTAAAAACAATAAAATAAAAAATAAAAAAAAGGGGAATTTACTTCCCCTCTCTTTGAATCTGGGCAGGTCACCTGTTTTGATTGACAGAAGATGGTAAACCTGATGTGCTAGTTTCTAGGCCCATTCTTAGCAATACTGGCAGCATTCACTTCCTGTCTTTGAAGCATTTACTCTTGAGACCCAGACGTCACACTTAGGAAGACCACACCACAAGAAGAGGCCAAGAAGTCACTTGATGGGAGGCTCCCATGGAGCTTCTCACTGACAACCTCAACTACCAGTCTTGGGTTGAACATCTTCAGCTGGATTCTGAGTAACAGCAAGGTTAGCTAACTTCCTCAAGTCACATGGTTGGGAAATGAAACAGGAAGAAGTTATAGCTCATTTAAATGAAGCAATAGTAATTATACTTTAGGATATCAAAAAAGATAAAATTCAGAGTAGAAATGAAATAGATAGAAAGCTGAACTATAATAGAGACTGGAAAGAATGAAAATCTTTAAAGGCGCTAATAGACTGGTTGAAGTGGTAGAGCACCTGCCTAGAAAGCATAAGACCTTGAGTTCAAATCTCTGTCTCACCAAAAACAACTCATATAGAACATCTTTGACAATCAGCAAATTCAAAAAGATAATATTAATTGATGATGAGGAGGAGGAGGATGATGATAATGGGATATGAATGCGAAAAGGAGAGTTCAGTGGGAAGGGGGAAAGGAAAGGACACTGAGGGGTGAAGAAGCCTGAAGTATAATACATTATATATACACATATATATATGTACATGAAGGCAGCATGATGAAACCCGCCAAACACTGTTAGAAAAAGAGGGGAGAATTGAGGGACTGGGAATGTAATGGAAGGAATGAACTTGTTCAAAGTCCTCTGTGTGCATCTTTGGAATTATCACAAGGAAATCCTCTCCAACTATCAATGGATGCTAATTCAAGAATATAATAAAACTATTAAAAATTTAAATTAACAGATAGTGTAGAAGTTTCTGTAGTTAATATTCAAATATACTTGCTATAAAAATTGAAAATCTCAACTGAAATAGCCACATTGGAAACTTATTTAGTAGTAGAAAACATTAATAGATCAAAAATTTGAATATCTTGAATACAATATCAAAATATATGCAAGAAATCAAGCCTCAGTGGATTTATGGGGAAGCTTTGAGGTTTAAAAGTAAAGCATATTCTTAAACTACCATGGCAAACTGTAAAATTTCCATGACTATTTATTTTAATAAGTGAAGAATTTTAACTGAAAATAAGCAAAGCAGTATAGGAGAGGTAATTAACAGAGCACATAATAAGCATAGGTGCAAAAAGCTTTTAAAAAGTGACAAAAATTATTTCACAATATAGTTTTAAGATATACTGTAAATGAGAATAATTTTCCAAGAACATGAAGATAATTTGAAAC